CTCGGCCCCCCGGCCTTTTATGGCTGAAGAACAGCCCCTGGAGGCTCCTCGCTCCATCTGACCTGCCAACACAGGTGCATCCGCCCCCTCTGTGCTGGGCGCAGCCTGGAAGTTGTCTTCCCCAGCGGGGGGCTGCCGAGCTTGGCCCCACTGGTGTAAAGGCCCTTGGGTCTGAGGCGGATGTAATTCAGGCTCTGGCCGTGCCTCAGCTGCTGGGCTTGAGGAGGCTGTAGATCTGTTCCAGAACATGTGCAAAACCCTGATCTTTGGGCGTCCTGGAGGCGAGGGAGCCCTGAAAGGGAAACAGCTGCTGTCGGCCCGCTCTGTGCCCCAGCCCCATAGGGCGAGCCCCTGGGTCTCCCCAAACAGGTGAGGGGGGAGAGTTCTACCCACTCTGGCCGTGCCTCAGCTGCTGGGCTTGAGGAGGCTGTAGATCTGTTCCAGAACATGTGCAAAACCCTGATCTTTGGGCGTCCTGGAGGCGAGGGAGCCCTGAAAGGGAAACAGCTGCTGTCGGCCCGCTCTGTGCCCCAGCCCCATAGGGCGAGCCCCTGGGTCTCCCCAAACAGGTGAGGGGGGAGAGTTCTACCCAACCTGCCCCGGCCACTAGACCAGTTCTCAAATGGCTTCGCTCGAGTAAGGACTGCAAAAGCGGGGCAGGTCGAAGCTAGCAGGCTCGGGCTGCTTCAGCCGCATGGCTGGTTTGAGTGCAGCTTAATGCTTCAGTGCCCTGCAGAGAGCAGGGCGGGAGTGAAGAAACCTGACTCGAGCTTCCCTAGCCGTGGAAGTGCTAGTGGAGAAAATTCAGGCACCGGGGTAAAAACACCGAAGGGGGCTCAGAGCAAGCCTAGAAAACATGGTGGAAAGTCACCGGTGCCTCATCGCGGCAGGTGGGGGTTTATGGGGGTTGATTTCTCCCCCCCCCACTCCTGGCCATTTTCTCTTCTTTAGTTTATCCAGGTAGGTCTGCTCCTGGCTCCATAGATCTTGAAACTTCACCAGGTCTGGAGCCCCCTTGTAAAACTCAACCAGCAGCATCTGGCGCCGCAAAGGGAAAGGGGAGTCAAGGGAAGCCGAGCGATTGCTCGAGTCCACCGAAGGCAGAGCCCATGCCCTGCAGTTTGGCGGCCGTGGGGAAGAGGTGGGAGGGGAGAGGATCAGCCTGTCTGCCCCAAGGAGCTTTCCTATTCTAGGGATGTTAAATATCGGTTCATTGAATAGTTGATGAACCTCACGAATTCTTACCGGTGACTCGACTATTCTCTAGTCCCCAGGGGTGGAGCTGGCACCGGCCGCACTCCCGAGGAGCCCCCTGCCGTTCTGTGCTGCTGCCTCTGGATCAGAGGCAGCAGCCAGTGGTGCCAGGTAGAGCTGGTCTGTGAAGGGAGCCAATTTAAAAACCAGCTCCCCGCACAGACCAACTGCCTGTTGCCTTGTGCAGCTACCTCTGATAGAGGCAGCAGTGCAGGGTGGCAGCAGCTCCTGTCTGGGCTGGGGGGGGAGTCTGAGCTCCGGGACCTGGCGTGAGTCAGAACTGAGCCGGGTTGCCTGCCCACCTGGCTCCTAATACACTTTAAATGCAGAGCCGCAGCAGGGGTAGGGCCCAGATCCGTCGCAAGCCAGGACTGAGCTGGGCTGCTGGCCAGCCTGCTAACAAATGTAGTGGCAAGGGGACGAGGGACAGAAACGTGTGCAGTCTGTAGCATTAACCGATACGCTTTTGCTTATTGGTGAATCGATTAATCGACTACACTAGTACATCCCTACCCTGGCCCCTGTAGCAGGAACTGTGGCAGACTGGACAAGCCTGAATTGGAATTACAGGAGCAGAGGGGAGTTTGTTTGGGCAGGGGCACAGGCTGCTACCCACCTAATGGACCTGTGATCTCGTTGCTCACTCACACGGTGCCTAGCCCTTTGCCCATATGTTTCTCCTGCCGCTTCTCGGAGCCGTGGGATTTTCATTCTCTGAAAGGGCTCTGAGCAAAAGGGTTGGGAGGATTCACTGGAGGTATGGAGGGGAGGGGGAGAGCCTAGTGGAGCGGCTTCATCTGGCTACAGTCAAGAGGGGACATGTCTGTCACCACAGATCTCTAGCACAGGGCTACTCAACTGTGGAAGCCCCGGGGGCCACAACTTATGTGTAGTGGCATATACTTGCAAATAGCTTCTTTCACACTGACAGGCAGGCAGGAGCGGCCTGAGGCCGGCTGCAGCGGCACAATCGGTGCCCCTGCCTGCACGGCTGTCAATGGCCGTGACGTCATCAGGCGCCCGGGCCAGCGGCGCCCTAGGCAGCTGCCTAGCTCGCCTAGGCTCACAGGCCACCCCTGCTGGCATGACTACAAAGATGAAGGCAAGATTACACAACACACAGGCCCCGTTTAAGTCGGTTCTGCTGTTGTTAATGAAATGCAATAGTTACCCAATTCCCACCCATCCGACCGCCCTTTTAGTGAGCAATGACAGTCCAGGAATTTAACTGCTAAAACGCATCTCAGCAAAAGACCATTCTATTGACTCCTGCTTTGTTTTGGCTCCCGGCCGTGCGTTGAGCCCCGCGTAAACCCAGACTGTCCAGCAGGCTGCAAACAAACAGGCCCCAGGCCACGTGTTGAGTAGCCCTGCCCGGGGCCCCCCTGCCCACGCCAGCCTGCCTGGAGATGAGGCTTTGTTGGCCACCTGAGGCTGCCCTCGAGCAGGGGAAAGGGGAGCCCACCATGCCCGCTGGTGAGTTATAGGGGACGTCAAGGTCCTACGGGGGGACGAGTTGAAGTGACGGAGCCCAGCTGAGGACTGCGAGGAGACGTGTACGGTGCGGCCAGACCCTCTCAGGCTGGGTGGGTCCCCGCACTCCCTGCTCCAGTCCCCCTTGCCCTATGTACGTGCCACCCGGGAGGGGTCTCACCATCTCCTGGAGGACGTCGTTGGTGAGAAACCCGTCCTGCATGTAGGTGACCTCCACTTCCATGGGGATGCCGTAATCGTTGGGCCTTTGCTGAGAGACGGGAGAGAAAAGGAAGGAAAATGGTTTCCGGCCGGGCAGGGGCTGGGGTTCTGCAGGACGAGCTGGGACCTTCCCAGGCCTGGCTTAAGCGCTGGCATTAACTCAGCCCAGCCTTGGGCAAGGCCAAGGCCTGTAGTTGAGTGGCAGGGTCATCGCCCAAGGGTGAGGAAAAGGCCCTTTCCTGGCCAGGCTCCCTGAGGCTGCCAGCACGGAGATCCGGAGGGGGAGGGGGTGTCTGCCTGTTTCTCCAGCTGGAGAGACCGTGTCCTCCCCAGCACCCAGCAGGGGCCCTGATCCGACACCCCTGCACCGTGGGACCCAACAGAGGGCAAAGGCTGAGAGCTGGCAGCGGCTGCCTGTGCTCCCTCTCAGAGAGGGGTCCCCGTCCCCTCCCCAGCTACGGGGGCTGGAGGTTACAGGCTGGGGCCCCAGCGCCCGCCCGGCCTGGTCACTGGCGCCTTGCGGAACTCACCTCAGGAGGCGGCATGACCCAGAAGGGCGAGATTTTGGACTCCATATGGTGCTGTGGGGGGGGAGAGAGCACCGGGGTTGGACTGAGGGCAGAGTTACCCCCACACACACCCTCCGCCGCCCACCCCAGCTGCCTGGCAGCTCCCCAGAGCTCAGGGAGGGGTGAGAATTAGAGCAAGCAGCGTTGGACGCAGCCCGGCCCGCTGGGGTCACAGCACGTCCCGGGGGGAGCATCCCAATGCCCTGGATCAGAGGGCTGCAGACTCGGGGGAAGGGGGCTAAGCCCCACCAGGTCTCAGGCTGCCAGGTCCTCCGCTGGCTTTGCTAAAGGATGGGTTCCCAAGCCCCGCCCATGGCCCCCAGACTCCACCCCTGGCTTCCCAGCTCCGCCCCTGGCCCCCTGGCTCCCCAGCCTGGCCCCTGGCTCCCCGCTCCTAGCCCCCAGGCCCTACCCCTGACCCCCAAACCTCACCCCTGGCCCCCAGACTCCACCCCTGGCTTCCCAGCTCCGCCCCTGGCCCCCTGGCTCCCCAGCCTGGCCCCTGGCTCCCCGCTCCTAGCCCCCAGGCCCTACCCCTGACCCCCAAACCTCACCCCTGGCCCCCAGACTCCACCCCTGGCTTCCCAGCTCCGCCCCTGGCCCCCTGGCTCCCCAGCCTGGCCCCTGGCTCCCCGCTCCTAGCCCCCAGGCCCTACCCCTGACCCCCAAACCTCACCCCTGGCCCCCAGACTCCACCCCTGGCTTCCCAGCTCCGCCCCTGGCCCCCTGGCTCCCCAGCCTGGCCCCTGGCTCCCCGCTCCTAGCCCCCAGGCCCTACCCCTGACCCCCAAACCTCACCCCTGGCCCCCAGACTCCACCCCTGGCTTCCCAGCTCCGCCCCTGGCCCCCTGGCTCCCCAGCCTGGCCCCTGGCTCCCCGCTCCTAGCCCCCAGGCCCTACCCCTGACCCCCAAACCTCACCCCTGGCCCCCAGACTCCACCCCTGGCTTCCCAGCTCCGCCCCTGGCCCCCTGGCTCCCCAGCCTGGCCCCTGGCTCCCCGCTCCTAGCCCCCAGGCCCTACCCCTGACCCCCAAACCTCACCCCTGGCCCCCAGACTCCACCCCTGGCTTCCCAGCTCCGCCCCTGGCCCCCTGGCTCCCCAGCCTGGCCCCTGGCTCCCCGCTCCTAGCCCCCAGGCCCTACCCCTGACCCCCAAACCTCACCCCTGGCCCCCAGACTCCACCCCTGGCTTCCCAGCTCCGCCCCTGGCCCCCTGGCTCCCCAGCCTGGCCCCTGGCTCCCCGCTCCTAGCCCCCAGGCCCTACCCCTGACCCCCAAACCTCACCCCTGGCCCCCAGACTCCACCCCTGGCTTCCCAGCTCCGCCCCTGGCCCCCTGGCTCCCCAGCCTGGCCCCTGGCTCCCCGCTCCTAGCCCCCAGGCCCTACCCCTGACCCCCAAACCTCACCCCTGGCCCCCAGACTCCACCCCTGGCTTCCCAGCTCCGCCCCTGGCCCCCTGGCTCCCCAGCCTGGCCCCTGGCTCCCCGCTCCTAGCCCCCAGGCCCTACCCCTGACCCCCAAACCTCACCCCTGGCCCCCAGACTCCACCCCTGGCTTCCCAGCTCCGCCCCTGGCCCCCTGGCTCCCCAGCCTGGCCCCTGGCTCCCCGCTCCTAGCCCCCAGGCCCTACCCCTGACCCCCAAACCTCACCCCTGGCCCCCAGACTCCACCCCTGGCTTCCCAGCTCCGCCCCTGGCCCCCTGGCTCCCCAGCCTGGCCCCTGGCTCCCCGCTCCTAGCCCCCAGGCCCTACCCCTGACCCCCAAACCTCACCCCTGGCCCCCAGACTCCACCCCTGGCTTCCCAGCTCCGCCCCTGGCCCCCTGGCTCCCCAGCCTGGCCCCTGGCTCCCCGCTCCTAGCCCCCAGGCCCTACCCCTGACCCCCAAACCTCACCCCTGGCCCCCAGACTCCACCCCTGGCTTCCCAGCTCCGCCCCTGGCCCCCTGGCTCCCCAGCCTGGCCCCTGGCTCCCCGCTCCTAGCCCCCAGGCCCTACCCCTGACCCCCAAACCTCACCCCTGGCCCCCAGACTCCACCCCTGGCTTCCCAGCTCCGCCCCTGGCCCCCTGGCTCCCCAGCCCCGCCCTTACCGCAGATGAGAGCCAGGCAGGGCTGGAAGCTGTTGTTGCTGCCCTGCAGCTTGAGCTGGTAATCCATCTGGGCGTCGATGTCCTGCAGCGAGGGCAGGGCGTGGCTGAAGGGGTGGCTGTGGTACCAGCCCACCAGCGCCAGCCCCCGCAGGAAGAGGCTCTGGCAGATCTGAGGCAGGGGCACAGAGACGGGGGAGGCCGTGAGAGGCTGGGGGCTCAGGCCAGCTCTGCCGGGCCGGGGGTGGGAGGAGCTATGGAGCCCAAGGCGCCGTCAAGCCGAAGCCTCGTTCTCTGCCGCAGCCCCGGGACAGCCACAGCATCCCACCTGCCACGCCCCGTTCTAGGCTTCCCGGGCGGGGCAGGAGCCACGGGGGGGCTGCCGCAGCTCCCACGCTAACTCCGCTGGCATCGCCGCCCTTCCGGGGGACCATGGGGCTGGGTTGCGAGCCTGGGGCCGCAGGACGATACGGGCACAGCTAACCCCCCGCCCCACACGCGCCCCCCCTACCTCCTCCTCCACGGTGACTGCTGATTCAGCGTCTCCGAGGCGCGTCCGGCAGGGGAACGCGCGCAGCACCGTCAGCACTGCAAGAAACGCCAGGCTTCAGCCCGGCCCAGCCGGCCACGGCTCCGCCCGGCTCCCACAGGCTGGCCGGAGTCCCCGGGGGCTGGCCGGTGGCCTTGCACCTCAGCCCCAAGCCAGCCTCGGAAGGCCTGTGACAGGAACCCTGACCCTCCGTCTGTACCTACCCTGGCTGCTGGTGTCCCACCTGCCTCCCAGGTACCCGACCACCTCGCTCCTCGTCAGGGGGCTGTGAAAGTCCTAAAGGGGGAACAGTGGGGAGTTTAAAACAAGGGCAGATCTCACCTGCTCTTCCCTCTAGTCCCACCCCCTGCATCCCCCCCCGCGCCCCTCCAGCTGCCCTACAGTCCACGCCTTCTCCCCCGTACCCTCCCCCCTGCACCCCTCCCCCACGACCCTGCACCCAAAGGCATTGCACGACCCTTCCCCCTGCCCCCCCCACCAGGAAGTGTCTGGTTGACACCCCCGCCTCAAGTCTTCTGCATTCTGCAGGCGTCACCCCTAGTTTGACGTCTCCCTGGGCCCTGCAGATCTGTGACCCCCCCCCCCACCTCCCCCTTCCTTGGGAGCTGCCTTCGGGCTGAGGCGCAGCCCCGGGGTCTTGCTTTGAGCCCGAAGGACACTCAGGACGCTGCGACTAGACTACAAGTTGCTGTGGCCGGCAGGAGATGAGGACAAACGTGGGCCGCCCTTTGGCGGGGGGTGGCTCTGCCGCCTCGGATGAAGGCCCCGGCCTCTCTCTGGCTCACACGCACAGCCCGGGGCTGCCGCCGGCGCCACCACGGCTCCTCTCCTCTGCCCGGGGACCCACCCTTCTTCACCCAGCTTCTCCCTCCTTCCACCCTGGCCCCAGCGGAGTGTCCATCAGCCCCCCTGCCTCTCTCCCTGCTGGCCGCCAGCAGCCATAGGCACGTGCTGCCGGCCGTCGCGTGGGCCTCGCCTCCCATGCCGGGGGCGGGTACGTACCAGCAGCAGCAGCACGTTGCTGGAGATGGCCACGTTGAAAGGCTGGAACTTGTTGACTGCGGCGAAGGACGTCACCTCCACCAAGGTGTGGGGGTTCCTGGAACAGAAGAGCCCCGTCCTCTATCCCAGCCTGTGCAGTCCTGATGCCCCGCCCGCCTGGCCCCCCGGAGAGGGATCCCCTAAACTCCAGCACGGTGGGCTGAGAGCCTGGGCCGCAGATTTGGGGGAAGAAAGGTTCATCCCAGGGGAGACTGAGGCCCCCCAGGACAGACAGGCAGAAGGACGCGGAGCTGGGGCTGTCCAGGCAGGGGAGCTCGGATTCAGGTTCCCAGAATTGTGGGTTAGGGGCAAGCCCCGGACAGGACAGAGGGACGTGGACTAGCAGGGAGCGATTCCATCTCCAGGCAGAGCTTTAGGAGCGGAGCAGCAGCGGGCGCAGGATGCCGGGAAGGGCGCTGCACTCGCCAAAGGGGCTGCCGCGGGGGCGCTACCTGGCGGCGTCCCGGCTTCCCAGGGTGCAGTAGCGGACGGGGGTGCGGTTCTTGCTCTCCGGTCTCTTCCCGGGGGGCCCATTCTCTGCAAAGACATCGTGACCAATCCCCCTTCAGTCCGATTCGCACCGGCCCCGTTACCGCGCCCGTTGAGGCAGCGGGACGGAGTTTGCGGAGACAGGTTCCCGGGGATTCGTCTCATTTCCGGTGCAAATCTCAGAATTACCCGGTGGTTTATGGCCGGAGCTCTGAATCAGACCAGCTGAAGGGGATTCTGCCGGGTGAAAAGTCCACCCAGGAAGGCCCTGTAGCCTCGCAGCGAGCCCCATGGCGGGGGACTCAGCTGCTTGGGGTCTGATTTAGAGACGCGATGGGTTAACCAGTTAAGCGGCGAGCGTCGCACCTACCGGGTGACGCCTACCAGTTATGAACAGTTCACTGGGGCAGCTTCCAGTTCACGCAGCCGCAGCGCCACTGCTGTTATCCGGGCGAGCGGCGGGAGCACGCCGCAGTCAGGCCTCCTGAGCGCAGGGCAGGCCGACCCAAAAACCCGCCTGGAGACACGGCGCCGTAGATTTTAACCTCCCTGGGGGCAGTCCAGGTCAGAACCTCGGACGGAAGCCTCGCACTGGCCTGAAACCGCCTGCAGCTCATTCCCGCTAGAGCGGGAGAGCGCTGCGGCCGCGTTCAAACCCTCGGTGGCTCGCAGCGAAGGCAAAGTGGCGAGGCAGAGACGCCGGGCGGCAGGGGCTGCAGAGGGGGAGGCTCTGGCAGCCAGTGCAGAGGCAGGAGGAAGGGACGGCGAGGAGCTGGTGCTAGATGGGCAGAGGACTGGGGAAAAGTGAGACGAAGGGCTAAGAATGACCAATCCCAGCCCTGCGATTCCCACCGGGCATGGAGAGGAGGAGAGCAGAACCCCCAGCCCCGAGCAGGCTGCTCCCAGCCGGCAGCCCAGCATTACCAGCGCCGTGCGGCTCCGCCAGGCTCTTGCTTTGCTGCTTCCTGCTTTTCTCCTCCGGTTTCTTGCCGAGCGCAGGCTCCGAGATGGTGATTTTACCTTCCCTGGTCTCCTCCTCCTCCTCCTCGGCCAATTCCTCCTCCTCCCCTTCGCTCACCAAGTTCTGCGGGGGAGAGGGAAGGGGGGAGAGGAGGGGAAGTGGCAGGACAAGCACGCCCCCTGCAGGCCTTGGTGCTCCTTACTGGCGCCCCATCCCAGGCCCCCCAATGACTCCTGTGCTCCTAGGGCCAGGTTTCCACCCCAGCACAGCTACATGTTGCAGGAGCAGCTCCCTTTGCTGGCACCCTAGCCCAAAGAAACAACTCCCAGCCGCGCCCCTGGGGGCAGATCCCTGCCCACAGTGCCCCACGGCCCAGTCCCACGAGCCCATCTCCGGCGGGAGACTCCCAGCCCCCTGCCTGCTCTCCCAGGGTTCAGACCCTCGCTGGCCGCATGACTCCAAAGCCCAGGTGTTTAAAGGGGCTTGCCTCTGGGAACCCTCGAATCCCTTTGGAAAGGGAAATTTAGGCTCCTTCGCTCAGGCCAGCAGGGCCCACTGCGACCATCTGGGCTGAGCTCCCACGGAGCCAGACCAGCGCCCCACCCTGCCGGAATCGGGGCGCGGCTTTTAAGGGAACATCCAATTTGGCTTTGACAACTCTCAGTGACGGAGCCTCCCCCTTGCCCCTTGGGGAGCCCCGCCACTCCCAACCCCCCGCCCGGAAAGCAGTCCCACGGCATTTCCGGCGCCAACGTCCAGCCCGTTAACGCCTCTCGCTGCGGCCCGGGGAGCCGCTATTGATTCTCTCGTTCCTACAGGAACTGACTCCGGTGCGGGGGTGCCGGGCATGGACCTTTAAAAACCCAGGGAGGCCAGGCGGAGGGAGGTGGCCTCTTTTACATTTATTTTACTTCAATATTTTTACCCTGCCTTTCTATTTGAAATATTCAAGGAGGCTTTTGAATCTTTTATTAGACCAACTTCTCTTCTCTAGCCTCCAGCCTTGCACATGCAGGAGCTCACGTCTTTCCCCTGGAGGGGCGGCCGGTCTCGCTAGTATCCAGCAGCTAAACCAGCTACAACAGCCCCTTGAAAGCCCAAGAGCCCTTCTCCCAGCAATGGGGCGTAATAGGACGATGGGGGCGGGGAGATCATCTGTGAGGAGTTCCTGCTGCCTGGGCTCCCCTGTGCTCTCCAGGCCCCCCCCCTTGGGACTATGGGAGACAGGGTGAGGGGCACAGGAGCTGGAGGCATCTCCCAGCCAAAGACTGGTTGAAGCCCGGGGGTCACGGCCCTGCAGCCCCAGACTCTGGGAGGGAAGTCCAGCTGCAGGCTGCTCGGGGCAGGGACTGGCGTGGAGTTCGATGTTTGTGCAGCGCCTGGCGCAACGGGTCTTGGGGCCAAAACGGGGGCTTCCAGCTGCTGCGGCCATCGCTCACCCCCCTGCCCCCAGGGCTTCGGCAGGGCTCCAAACCGGGGTCTGCACAAACCCGCAGCATCCCAGGGGAGGGGGGAATTGAGCCTCCGTGTCTCCCCCAGAGCTGCCTCCTTCTCCTGCAAATGGGCCCGTCCTGGCCTGATTCCCAGGGCTCTCCTTCCTTGCTAACCCGGGTTCAGAAGCAAACAAGGGAGGGGGGCTGGGCCCGGCTCACCTCCTCGGCCGCCGGCGCATTGGGCTGGTGTTTCTTCAGCCAGGCGGCCTTGCACTGGTCCAGCTTCTGCCCTTTGTACCTGACGGAGGCCCAGCCGCAGCCCGATTTCTTCGCCGGGTTCACCAGCTTCTTGCAGTACGTGGCCCAGGCGCTGGGCGAATTGAACACCTGCCCCGTCTCCTGCCAGGTGATCTTCCCGTCGGGCAGCAGGTCCCCTAAGAACTTCTTCCCCTGGGAGAGCAGGAGGGGAGCAGGCGGCTCTGTGAGCCCAGCACGAGGGGGGTGGGCCCCGGGAACGGCCCGGCGAGGGGGAGATTCACCGGTTACGAGAGAGGCCAAGTGTTGCCCCTCGAGGGCTGTGCAGGCAGCGACCCGGGAGCCCTGCGCTCCGTGGGGGACTCCATGGGCGGCAGACGCGCCTCGCCTTGGGCGCGGTACAGGAGTGTGACTGGGGGGGGGGGGCTGTCTGCTCTGTAACCCGCTGCCCCCACCTGGCAGGGGTGATTCCCTCTGACTCACCCACCTGTGGATCGGCCAGACACCTAGTCCCAGCCTGAGCAGATGACACGGCCCTTCCCAGGGGGAGAGACACAGGAAGGGAGGCGGAGACGGCCACCTGGCTGGGGGGCAGGGCCTGGGAGCTGGGCTGGCGGAGTGTGGGGAAGCATGGAAGGAGACTAAAAACCAGGACGGGGTGTGTGAACCCCCTCCCCCCAAGGGAACTAGGGCAGTTGGCCTGTCTGATGCCTACCCTGGGCTGTATCTTGGAGAAGCAATAAACCCATTTGTACTCTGCTGGCTGGCGGAGCGTCACATCTGGCTGTGGACGGGGGTGCAGGGTCGGGGGGCTCCCCGACGCGCCGTCACAAGAAT